TCCTAGCTAGGTACCTGTTTACTCAATTTCTTTTCCATAAAACTGAGCTGCTTGTTTTTTAAACAGAAGTCAGATTTGGTTTTGTGTGTGCAGCAGTGCTTTGCTAAAATTGAAGCTTCAGCTGCTGATTTTAGATGCTCAGAAGGCTTGTTATGGTCAGGTAATAAAATAAGGTTACAAAACAGACTTTTTAGAGCTCTTGGCATTATTTGTTTAAATTTTATGTTTCTTGCTGACTAATTTTATTAGTGAGATGCAGGTTACTGACTTACATTGATGAGAAGGTGGAGAATGCAGTATGTCCCACTACTTCACTGTTTCAAGCTCTTGATGCTTTTCTGTCTTTCTGCATTGGGCACTACTTCATAGCTGTGTTGATTATTTTAATCATAGAAATCCTTTGGTCTAGGTTTGTGATCATTAACTGGAGAAAACCAGAATTCTAATTATATGTCTGTCTTAAGTCACTGTGTTTCATTGCTAGTAGAAGTTTGGCTTGGTGTATGTGTTGGTGAAGATTTCCAGCTAAGAAAGAAAGAAACTTTTTCATGATTCAAAGACAAGAGAATGGTGGTGTGGGTGTCTGAGCATCTTCACTTAACTGTCTGGGCTTTGTTTTTTTAATTGTAAACCAAATTTCAGAATCACTAAATACTAAAATGGAGCTGCTGAGAAAGTAACTTCAAGTGCATTGCTGTTGGGAAGAGCTGTCTGTTTTAAATAACTTACAAATCTCTTTTCCCTTTTACTAGGATATCAGAAGGTTCTTTGGTGTTGTGCCTCCTGGAAAGCGACAAGAACGTGAGACTGTGAAGAAGAATGAAAAAACTAAAAATGCTGAAGGACTCTCAAGTGGGAAGAAAAAGGGAAATGAGGCTAAGGTTAGCTTTGCTGTCCTTATTCATGAAGTGTTTGGGTTTTGTGATACAGGACTCTTAGTGTAGCTACCATTTTTTAAAAGTCATAGTTCTTCTCATTTACCAAAATGTTGTATGTTAGTTATTTTTGTAGTCATGGGAGGAAACTACCACTTAATATTAACTTCTAGCAGTATGACTGTAGGTGGTAAAAAAAATTGCTAATTTTAAAGATTTGATTTGTTGGGCAAAGCTGGATAGATGTTGTGATTAGGTGCTAGTGTAATAACAATGTGATATATCTGAAGTTATTTTTAACTGTAGCCACAGTTCTCTAAGTAGCTCTGCTTACCTAATTCTTAGTTTAATTAAAATTGAGGCTTATGCAAAGTAGATGTAGGCATATCATAAAGGTGTCATGCTCACAAGTAAGATGAAAGTCTGTGGTATAAGTGCCTTTTCACCAGTTTTTTTTTAACCAGGTGTTTTAACACCTGTGGAGGAAACATTACCATTGTCTCTTTGTTGGGGTCACTTCTGTAAACCTGTTGCAAAGACCAAATTCTTTAAAGTAACAGGTTAAAATGAGTTTGGGTTCTAGTCTCAGACCAGCTTAATCATGTTTATCATCTGAACTATAGAAAAAGTAAAGCAGTGACTGAAGATAGCTTTAAAATCACTTGCAGGTTGGAAGAATTTCTAATAGGATGGAATGTTTAATGTGAAACATAATAGTTTGGAAGATGTTACTTAAAAAAATACTCTATAAAATTTCATTGTTGCATTGTGAAAATAGAGGACCATTCAGTGAAGCTGAAAGACACAGCAATTATCTTATGTGATCTAGTGTTTCTGCTTTGCAGTTCTCCAGGTATATCAAGGATTTAACAGACTTCAGATTAGAACTTAATGTCGATTATTAAATTTGTAGTTTTAAAAATACAATTTAGATAAATATAAGCATTTACAGCTATGCATGATTACAAAACAGGCATGGGTGGTGGTTTGGTAGGCACAGGAAACTTCATACCTGTGCAGCTTGTGAATTTTCTAAATACTTATCAGTGTAAATATAGTATTGGAAAATAGATAATGTCTGTTAGCATTTGTTTGAAACTCATAAAATTGAATGTGTAACTGAATAGGAGCTGTAAAGATCTGTTTACTGGTTGAACTAATGGACTGTTACTCTTAGGTGAATAATTCACCCAGTGAAGATGATTCCAAACAAAAGCGGATGAAAAAGAAAAGAAGAATAATCTATGACTCAGGTAGTGTTCACAGTTGTTTCTGAATGTCCCTTTGTATCTTTTGCATTCAAGGTTGATTAGGTGAATGACACATCTAAAAGCTTTTCTGGGGTTTTGTTGTTTGTTTTGTTTTTTAAGTAGATGTAATTTAAAACATTTCACAGTAAATGTTGATGGATAAATATGTTTGATAATATTAAGAGTTCATTGTGTGCTATGTGTGTAATAACACAATGCAGAGTAATTTTTAACAAAATATCTGTTTAAAAAAACCAAAATACAACCCCCCCACAAAAAAAGAACCACAAAAATAGAAATTCAGATAGTAAGTCCTATCAAAATTCCAGAACTTTCTGTTGTTACGAAATCATGTATATATTATGGAGAGTTATAGTTTGTCCCTTCTGTTAGGGATAAATAACATCCTACACTGGGTACAGGAGGCTGATCATATACTGTAATTTCACATTTCTGTGCAATGCATGGATGTAATATAGGAGATTGTTTTAAAAGCAAGCTTGAGTTTCCATGTGTCTTTCTCTTTAAAAAAAAATCTAGTAAATGTTTATCTTGTAGTTAGAAATTCATAGTATGGAACACAGAATCTAATTTGAAACACTGCTATCACATTCCAAAAATACTCTTTGGAATGTAATAGTAAGGGAAACCCATATTGTAGCACTTAAAACACAACAGAAACAGCAAAAATCCCCTAAACAAAAAAACCCCCAACCCTTACATGTCAAGATGCTACATTAAACTAGAAATGTCAAGCTTTTAAATTAGGCTTTCTGAGCTGTTATGTCATTTAATAAACCCTCTTTGATGGGATTCTGAATCTTGGATAATCATGAAACTGTAGAAAAGATTGCAGTTTTTTACTCCT